CCTAAAAGCGCAGGATTGTTTTAGTAAGCCTGCATAAAAAACGAAAAGCCAGACCAAGAAAAATGCAAGGAGTCCAGGCACGGTGGCTCACGCCTGTAATCCCAGCACTTTGGGAGGCTGAGGCGGGCAGATCGCTTTAGCTCAGAAGTTTGAGACCAGCCTGGGCAACATGGCAAAACCCCGTCTCTAACCCTACCCAAAATACAAAAATTAGCCGGGTGTGGTGGCATGCACCTGTAGTTCCAGCTATCTGGGAGGCTGAGGTGGGAGGATCACTTGAGGAGGAAGGTGGAGGTTGCAGTGAGCTGAGATCGCCCCACTGCACTCCAGCCAGGGTGACAGATCCAGAACCTATCTCAAATACATATACATACATACATACATACATACAAGAAGTCCACAAACGTTTTATTTCTTTTCAGCTGTTCTCTCCCTTTTGGCCACCTTGTTAAAAACTTTACAAATATTTTCAAGTAAAACCTTCTAATTCACCCCAACAGATGAAACCTACTCTGGCTTAAGCCAGAAGCAAGAGAGAACCCTGCTAGACCAGCCATTTCACGAGCTCTCTAAAATGCAGCTCTATTTGGGAGACTTCTATGTAGGAAGTAAGGCTAATAAGGCCGTTCCCAGAAGATTAGGTGTGGTTTTAATGAGCTCACTCAAGGCGGGTGGGGAGGGGAGTGGTTCCATGGTTCTATTTTTAAAACTCTTGTAAAGATCATCCTTTGTTGTCTAAACACCGCAGAAGAGAAAGAGACGTCTCCCAGTTTCTCAGGTTACAATCAGAGGTAACAACCTGTGCTAACCCGGTTTCCAGCGAAAAGGCCAAAAGTGTACTAATAACTTCGGCTTCAGCTGAGACTGGGATAACCCGCTTGAGCCAATGCCAAATTCCACCCATCCGGCGCGCAGGCGAGCGGGGCTTCTCCTCCCCAACCCTGGCCCGGGCTGCTTCTGCCGGGTCAATGCTGCCGCGTTGGTGGAATTCCCTCGCTCCAAGATCAGAAAGGCGGAGGCTTCAGGAAGTGGTTCTCCTCTAGGTGCAAGGGACTGCCTGGATATTTGGAGGGAATGGCAAACGCCCTGCTTCATGAGGTGAATGAATATAAATTAAATCGCTCTCGTATTTAAAATAACTTCGGGGATGACAGTGTCCAGTCAATCGGCCCTCGATGTTGGATTAGCTACCTGGGCTTGTTGTCTGCGAGTTAAGGTCCTGCAAAAAGTCCCTAGTTTGTCACCTCAGCTAACCTACCTCCTCCGGCAATTCTCTCGGTACATCCTCGGGTTGGAATTGTAATTCATTTTCCATAGCAGAAATGGGGAGGGCTCTAGAGAAGGTCCAAGGCAAATCGTTTAAAAAAATTTTATTTTTGGCCAGGCGCGGGGGCTCACGCCTGTAATCTCAGCACTTTGGGAGGCTGAGGCGGGCGGGCGGGGGTTTGAGGCCAGCCTGACCGACATGGAGAAACCCATCTCTACGAAAAATACAAAATTAGCCGGGTGTGGTGGTGCATGCCTGTAATCCCAGCTACTCGGGAGGCTGAGGCAGGAGAATCGCTTGAACCCCGGAGGCGGAGGTTGCGGTGAGCCGAGATCGCCCCATTGTACCCCAGCCTGGGCAACAAGAGCGAAACTCAGTCTCAAAAAATTTTTTTGTTTTATTTTATTTTTTAAATTTGAGACAAGGCCTCGCTCTATCGCCCAGGCTGGAGTGCTGTGGCTCAATCATAGCTCACAGCAGACTCGAACTCCTGGGCTCAAGGGATCCTCCTACCTCAGCTTCCAAGTAGCTGGGATGACACGCGTGAGCCACCATGCCTGGCCAAGTTTTATTTTTATTTTTTGTAGAGACGGGGTAGCTATGTTGCCCGGGTGGTCTCCAACTCCTAACCTCCAGTGATCCTCCCGCTTCGGCCTCCAAAGCGCTGGGATTACAGGCGTGCGCCACTGCGCACGGCAATTTAGAAACTGCACCAGGAGCACGTACCTGGGCACTGTGAAGAAAAGGGCATGGACTTGAAGTGTGACCGCGTTTGAATCTGAGTTGTGCCTGGGACACCCCACCTCCTGGGCCGTAGGGCAGAGAGAGAGGATGTCCTCCTCACATGGTCCCTAGCTCTCCGCGCTCTAGCCGAATGCCTGGCTCCTAGTGGATACTTGATACGTGGGAAATGTAGGGGGAGGGGGTGGCGGGGTATTGGGAATGTCCCGCGGAGTGGATTTCGGGAGAGTGGCGCTTTTCTCTAGAACTCTCTTCCGGTTACACCTGGAGTAAACGCTTGCCACTCAAGAAGGAAAACCCCAGATGAGCAGCTAGGACTGAGGGGGTGGGCGGGAGGGGGGAGATCAGTACAGGTACTCTTCCTAATGAGGCGGTGCTACAAAATAACCAATTTTAATAAAGACTGCAAAGAAGAAAACCAGGTTCTGCTGTCGGAGTGCACAGGCCCCCAGCCGAGCGCCCAACACCCAGGTTCCGGGCCCACCCTGAGGCAGCCTCTTGGAAATCTCTAAGCTGGAATGTGTGCGTGAGCCATTGCCCTCTTTGTGTGTGAACTTGAAGCGAAATCTGGGCGAGGCGGGGCCGTGCTGCTAGTAATCGGACCCACAGTCGCGGTTCAGAGAAGCCCCAAGCTTCCCCAGCCTCCCGCAGCACGGCGGGGAGGGCACGAGGCGCCTCTGTCCCCACCCCAGAGCACGGGGCGCGCGGCAAATGGCCTGGTGACCGCTCCGCACCCCCCCCCCCGCCCCCTGGGAGCGTGCCCTCCCGCCGGACCCTGGGACTCCAGAGAACGCGGAGGGCGCGAGTACACTAAGATATACGACCTTCCCTGGGGACCGGGAAAGGGCACAACTGCCTCTTGCAACTCCGCCACTAGGACGCCTTGGGTCACCAGGCCCGGGGGAAAACTCGTCCACATCCCAGGCTCTCGACTCGAGCCGCAGCTCACGTCCTGCGCCCCTCCCGGCGTGCCGCTCTGCTCCTCCCTAGTCCCGCCTCCAGCTCCGCCTGGGCGCCCAGAGGGTAAACGAGGGGCGGCGGGGACCGCGAGGAGGGGGGGGGTGGACGCGGAATTTCCCAGCGCGGGGGCTCTGGCTTCCCCTGCAGCTAGGCAGTCTCTTTCTGTTTACGGAGAGAAAGGGGAAATGGAAAAGTCGGGGAGGCGGTGGCTGGCGTCCGCTGCGCCGCCCCTGGGCCGGCTCAGACGCCGTGAGTCAGGGGCAGAGCACGGCGGTCTGGACGTGCGGGCGACGCGGGGCTCACTCGTCCGCTCGGGTCTGGACTGCGCGCCACGCTCTGGGGTCCGGCGCCCTGGCTCCTGTTTCTGCCGCTGCTGCCGCCGGATCCCGGTGGCCCGGCGTGCCCGGCTCGCACGGGCCTGCAGCCAGCGTCGCACCGAACCTTCGGGGGTCCGCGGCTGGAGCGCTTGGCCGGCGTGGGAGCGCCAAAGCCGCAGGTAACCCAGGGTTGGGGGTCTCCGGCGTGTCTTTCGGGTCGCGTCCCGCCTGGGTGCCCCGGGGATTCCCATGCAGAAATGGAGGGTGACCCCAGCAGAGGGGAAAACTCTGGCGTGGGAAGAGGTGGGGGCGTGCCCACAGCTGCGCTCGCGGGTCGCCGGCCGCACCAGGCACAGCTGGAAAGCACCTTGCGCAAGGGTCTCACGGGGTGCAGACTCGCGACTCCTCCCCCTTCCTCCTCCTTCCCGGATCCGCAGGGCCCGGGCAGTGCTGGTCCGGGCAGTGCGCGGGGAAGCGGGGACCCGCTGTCACTGCGCCTCCCGCCGCCGACACCGCCTGGACGGCCGCGCTGTCCCTGCCCCAGACCCGGTGAGTGCAGCTCGGAGGTTGGAGGACCCGACCCTCCCAAATGCTGGGTGCTTTGATAATTTACAAGCTTTTTAGGCTCCCTTGACTTAGAGAACCAGGAGGAAGGGAGTGGGAGTGTGGGCTGGCGGAGCCCAGAGACTTGTGAATGGCTGGAACTAAATTCAAGTTTGTAACCTGGACTGTATCCCGTGACTAAAGGAGTCATAGCAGAACACGAAGGCTGGGCTTTTGGTCTAAGAAAGAATACTAGGAGAAAAAAAAAAAGTTATTTTCACGGAAGTTGTTTTCGAGCGATAATGCATGATCAGGACTGACTGAAATTTTTCTAGCTCTAGGCGGAGAAGGACGCCCAGGGATAGTCCCCATAGTTAACAGGGGAAGCCACCCGCTGCCTTTAAGAGTGAAACGTTGCGATGCTTGTCTATTTCACTTTGGGGAAGACAAGATAAAATGCTGCTCTTGATAAAAACGGGGACAGAAAGGCTCTTGCAGTTGCTTTACATACTTGTAGCCTGAGTCGTGTGTGCCAAGGAACGTGTAATCCACTTCCAGCTGACGCCCCCAGCTCTCTCCGAAGGATTGAGGTTTGTGTGCAGGTCGTCTGGCAGATGGCCCATGAGGACTTTGTCGTGTAAAGAAAATGGGAACGTGGAGGCATCTAGAGGTTTTGAAGCAGAGTGGCGGTCCTTCCTTCTATACCCCTGAAACGCATAATTCCGGGGCTTTTTGAGAACAAAAACATAATCAGAGATGTGCCCTGAGGGAGAATATACTATTTTGGCAGGATCTATCTATCTATCTATCTATCTATCTATCTATCTATCTATCTATCTCTATCTATCTATCTATCTATCTATCTATCTATCTATCTATCTTAGTATAAATATATATATACAATTTTTTTTTTTTTTTTTTTGGGACGGAGTTTCACTCTTGTCGCCCAGGCTGGATTGCAATGGAGCGATCTCGGCGCACTGCAACCTCCACCTCCACCTCCACCTTCAAGCGATTCTCTTGCCTCAGCCTCCTGAGTAGCTGGGATTACAGGCGCCCGCCGCCATACCCGGCTAATTTTTGTGGAGACAGGGTTTCACCATGCTGGCCAGGCTGGTCTTGAACTCCTGACCTCAAGTGATCCACCCTTCTTGGCCTCCCAAAGTGCTGAGATTACCAGCATGAGCCACTGCTCCCGGCCTAAAAAAAATAATTTTAAATGGGAAATAACACAAGGAATAGTCATTCTTTGTGAGGCAGAAGCATATGCTGGTACGTTGGCCATTTTCATTCACACTTGCCAGGAAACACTCACATTTTGTTTATGTATGTGGAGGCAGCCAAGAGTATTATGTTAATGTTTAGGAACAGAATTTCCTCGTGATTTTATTGCTGATTTCTGAAATAATTCAGTGTAACTAGTTTTGACTGTATTTGCACATCTCTCCAATTCCAAAAGCTGGCATAATTTTCTGTTTGGTTAGGAAGCAGGAATTTTATGAGGACTTTTATTGTAAATTGTGTCAAGGGAAAAATCATCTTATACTAAACGTCTTTATTGCCAAACTAGAATACCTTCACAATCTGAACTTTCTAGGTGGCTACAGATCATGAATAACTCAGAAACCATTAGCTTATTGTGTGCTTCTTTAAGGCTGGAAAGTGCTGAGGCTTTTTGCAGGAGCAGTTAGCAGGCGAACTGGTCAGCAGGGTTTCTGGGGAGCATAGATTTGTGTGACAGGGGCCCTGTGTTGCTAAGGAATTAATGCAGGCACTGAGAAAAGTCTCAGTGTCAGACACTCCTCCACCTCCCGGGTCCTGCTTCCCTCCCTCTCCCCTTTCCAGGCAACTCACAGTTTAGGGGTGTGGTTGTGTGTGTTTAAGCTCTTGGGTTTTACATATAAATGCTTGAGACTTTCTGCAGGATTTAAAAACCAAAACCTTGTATTGCCGCTCTTTTAGGATTTGTCTTTTAGAATCTCCAGTCCTCACAGGAAAACCCCCCAATTAACAAAATAAAAGAATAAAAAGAATACTACTACTAATTTTTTTTTTTTAAAAACCTCTAAAATTTGTCTTCCCGGATCAGCAGAGTGAATTTGAACTGTGTGGACATTTTTCCTCTTTCTTTCTTGAGTCGTGTTAGTACTGAGAACTTTTTTTTTTTCTGTCAAGTCATCCATTTGATAAATAAGTCCAGGAGACTTGGATCCTTTCAACCCCTGAGGCCCCAAATTAGGCTGTTTTTGTTTTAACTTCTGTGTTTCCAGTAAATTCGACAAGCAGAAACTGCAACTAGATGGCTCAGTAAAACCGATGTCAAATGTTCCTCCATTAATCTAAGAAGTTCCCTTCCTAACTCAGTAGACTCCAAGAACCTGAATCACAATCTCCCTCAAAGATGTACAAGATCTCAGGAGGGGAAGCTGCCCCCTCACTCTAGATTTCACTGTGTTGATAACAGCCATCAAAGCATTTCATGGGTTTCTGCCTTTTTTTCTCTCTCTCTTTATGTCTTGTTTTAGATACAATCTTCTTACTGCGAAGAAGCCAGGGGAATAGGTAGCCACATCTCATTTGCAGATAAGAAAGGAAGCTAATGCAATATCTGCAAAGCCAGGAGTCTGACTCAGTACTTTTCTCTCTCATGCATATAAAGCAGCTAAAAATGACACAGCTTATTTACCATGCCCCTGACACTGCACTGAGCACTTTATGAGCTTGAACTCTTTTAATCCTCACGACCACTTCATGAGGTAGGTGCTGTTATTACTTCCATTTTACAGATGGGGAAAATTGAGGTTGAGAGAGGTTAAGTTACTTGCTCAACGTCATGCAAGCAGTAAATGGGAGTGTGGTGGGGAGGTGATGTGATTTGACTCCAAGCAGTCTGAGACCAGAGCAATGTTGGATTGCAGGATGCTAGACCACTTTCCTCAGACACAATTCATACGTCAGAAAACAACCATCAAGTAAGTGAATGATGACGCTAAATTGCATGGTTCTTTTGTCAAATGAAATGCACTGAGAGGCAGATGGCTGGGTCATGCATGCAGGTGGCTCTGCAGTGGAGCATTTCCTGGAGCTTTGAAATGAAGCTCCAGGTTGATCAGAGATGTGTGGCTTTAGCCCTGAGTGTCCTGTGTGTTAAAGGCTTCTGCCTTTCAGAACTTGAAATACCTTTCAGAAAGAGGCTGTGCTTTTGGGAGTGCAAACGATGATTTAAGTAGACCAATGTGCCTTGAAATTCTCTTAGATCTCTTAGAGCTTTTGTCTTTTCTCCTTCAGAACAGAGTTGTTCTAAAATCCTGAGTAACAACATCAGTTTTTACTCTTGCTTTACTTTCTTTTTCTCATCTACAGATCTCCAAGTGTGGCAGCTGATTTGTATATAAGAGCTGAAATGCAATTTTGGTTAATATAGTCACTTGGCCTTGCTTATGATATATTTGACTTTCCTGGCTTCTTTCTACTATTCACAGCTTCTAGAGGGCTGTTTATCTAGATAGTAATCTTCTGGGACCCTCAAGATGTTTGCTTTGCACTATTAAAGAATTCTGGTCCTAAGGGAGGACAGCTGAATCATAGGTTAAATGCATCGTCATCTTTCTCATACTCATCGCTGGGAGAACAAGGTTCCCTGTCACCCTTCCAATTAGCTGTTTAACTCATTTGCATAAGAATCATTCCTGAAACTTGACCTATTGCCATCAAATTTGTTTAGATTGAAATCCATTTTTCCAGCTTCTGGCTTTCAGGGCCTGAGTTTTATTTGCCAAGTTAGCTCCTGCATTTCGTGAAGAGGTTATTTTTCTTTCAAGTCACCGGAGGCATAAAAAAGCCATAGCGATTTTTGCAGGGAGGGTGCCACTTTGGGGGAATAGCTGGGTTGTGTAAAGTTGGAAGCCCTAAAGAGCCGGAAGCCTGAGTTCTTCAAAGATTCCTGAGCTGCTCTTGATTGGTGTGTATGCGTAGTGAAAGTTTGTCTTCAGTGGCTGTAGCTGATACCACTGACTCCGTGAGTAACAGTAAGCTCTCTGGGTCTCAGGTTTCCCCTCTGCAAAGTGAGCTGGACTAAAGGTTATCTTCGGTCCCTTTCTGCACTGTCAACTTGAATTCACACACACAGTTGACACAAAACCCTCGTTTTCTGAACAAAGGCATATAAAATCCTGTTGCCAATCCTTGTATGTTAGTTTCCCATTGGTCTTGAATGCAGATACAAATATCGTAAACTAAGGATTTGTGTTTTCTTTCCTAGACTCTCTGGAAAGCGCAACAGTAATGGAGTACATGAGCACTGGAAGTGACAATAAAGAAGAGATTGATTTATTAATTAAACATTTAAATGTGTCCGATGTAATAGACATTATGGAAAATCTTTATGCAAGTGAAGAGCCAGCAGTTTATGAACCCAGTCTAATGACCATGTGTCAAGACAGCAATCAAAACGATGAGCGTTCTAAGTCTCTGCTGCTTAGTGGCCAAGAGGTACCATGGTTGTCATCAGTCAGATATGGAACCGTGGAGGATTTGCTGGCTTTTGCAAACCATATATCCAACACTGCAAAGCATTTTTATGGACAGCGACCACAAGAATCTGGAATTTTATTAAACATGGTATGTTTCTTTCCGATCAGTTGGGTGCTGTGTGCTCAGCTTTCCTACTGCAGCTTCATTTAATGCAGAGTGGTGTTTGAATTTGGTTTAGATGGGCTGCCAGGTATGATTTTAAAAGATGTAATCATCAGTAAGAAGTACCTCCATGTCAAAGATGCAAAAAAAAAGTCTTCATTAAAAGTTCTATTTAAAGACTCTTGATCATATTTTAGTAGTATTTCTACAAATAGGTCATTAAGAAGGATGTATTTTGGCTGGGCACAGTGGCTCACGCCTGTAATCCCCACACTTTGAGAGGCCGAGGTGGGTGGATCACTTGAGGTCAGGAGTTAGAGACCAGTCTGGCTAACATGGTGAAACCCCGTCTCTACTAAAAATACAAAATTAGCCTGGTGTGGTGGCAGGCGCCTGTAATTCCAGGTACCTGAGAGGCTGAGGCACGAGAATCCCTTGAACCTGGGAGGTGGAGGCTGTGGTGAGCTGAGACTGCACCACTGCACTCCAGCCTGGGCGACTAAGTGAGACTCTGTCTCAACAACAACAACAACAACAAAGAAGAATGTGTTTTAATTTAACAATTCACTAAAAAGTTTATTCATCAGTTATGCAGAAAAGAAAGGCTTAATGAGACTTCTTTGTCTGAGAGGAGAATAAACACTTTGTCATTAATTAATCTTCTTGAAGGTTGAATTATTTGTTCTTTTCTTGTCACATCTTGAAATGTTATTAATTTATTTCTGCAAAAATGTAGTATGTAGGCAGTAAATAGCTATCCACAGATTCACTCTCTTTAATTGGCAAAGTATGAATGGCAAATGATATATTTGCTTAATCATCGCAAGTATGCAAATCATGCAAAATATTGTGGCAACATTTTGTTGCCCTAATAGTAGATCAGGTGATGTGTTTAGGTGTGCCTGGGATTCTGTCAGGCTTTTAGTATGGCAGAGGTGAACGTAGGTGCTGGCTAAAGGTAACCTAATATTTTTAAAAAGAATAATTTGCAAAGGAGTAGGTGGTAACTTACAAAACATGCTTATGGATGAAAGTGACGCCCTTTCTTTTGGTGTATCTAAATGGCAAAATGGCTAATGTAGGGGGAAAGTCAGTGCTGAGTGAGTATGGAGTCCAGACAAAGTACTTAATTATTTTGGTTTTTTTTGCATACTACATTCATTTAATTAGAAACAACACAGTAATTTAGGTCAGGTATGTAGTGAATTGTTTTGTCAGAAGCCAGTCATATTCAACCATAGCTCACCATGGAGCAAGATCATATTTTGCACTGTTGTGTGACTGCTTTGGTCTGGATCTATCAAGCTCTATTTAATAGTCGACTAAGTACTTTACCTTCAGAATATTTCTTCCTTTTATAAATGAGAAGTAATCATTTGAACTAGAAGCCATATCTGATTTTCCCAACTAAAGGATAGTTGGAGAACAAGGGTTCAAAGTTATATATATGTTTATACCGAGAAATATAATTGTTTGTGTATTTCTCTCATTTTTAATGTATTTATTTGTTAAAGTGGGAATTAATTTTTTTAAATCCTGCTCCTTCTATAAAAATGAGTATTTTAAATGAAAATATGCAGAAAAAACCAAATTATTCTTGCTTGTAAACATGCAAAGACTTAGGTATGTTTGCCTATTCCCCTGGCCTATCTGGGAATGTACAGAAAGAAATTCAGGAAAATTAGAAGAAATACAAAAAAATAGCCTTCTGAAGTCTTTTAGGAGTGGGGCCAGAAAAGTTAATCCTAAAAAGGAGAGAGACTAAGACATTAAGAGGAGGGTAAAATTGTATCAGCAAAGGGTTTGAGTAAAATGTTGTCATTACCTGCCATGGGTCCTGTACTCTTTAAATGAACAAGTACATAATTAAGGAGAATTCTTTTTTTTTTTTTTTTTTTTGACACAGAGTCTTGCTCTGTCACCCAGGCTGGAGTGCAGTGGCGCAATCTTGGCTCACGGCAACCTCCGCCTCATGAGTTCACGTGATTCTTCTGCCTCAGCCTCCTGAGTAGCTGGGATTACCGGCGCCTGCCACCACGCCCGGCTAATTTTTGTGTTTTTAGTAGAGACGGGGTTTCACCATGTTGGCCAGGCTGGTTTCAAACTCCTGACCTGAGGTGATCCACCCGCCTTGGCCTCTCAAAGTGCAGGGATTATAGGCGTGAGCCACTGCGCCTGGCCAGGAAAAATTTTAAGAGTAAACAAATACATAAGTAAAGGCAGGGATCTTGAAAAACTTGAAAAAGATTTTTATTTTAAAAATGATCAAGAATATAACATATAAAACAAGAAGACTGAAAAACAGAATAGAATAAGAGGAGGACCTTAAAATCCACTGGATCGTAGACATGGCCTCACTAGGCAAATCGACCCAGTGGTTGATGGCTCTGGGGGACTGCAGTTGACTTTCCTGCTACTCACATTAAAGATGGACTACATTGCTGTGCCTGCTAGGTAACCCATCAGAGCTCCATGATTCATAAATGATAGCCTAGGGATTGGGACTGTCATCTCTGAACATAGTCACTTCAAGACAGTAGTGAGGGAGGCAAGGCTTGCTTTCGGCTCCCTTTCATCCTCACATGGAACATTGGAACCACCCAATGTTCAAGATCTTTCTGTTCCCATCATCTTCCACCCACTACCCTATCAAAAACTTTACTCATTGGGCTTCATTTGCTGCTCTCTAACTCTCAGCTTTAGGAAAATAGCAGCTGATTATCTATTACACGATTGGTTCCTAGGTAAAATCCATCTATACGGTGTATCTACATAGGGATGGGGAAACTTTCATTCAAGTATTTACCTATTCATTTGCTAGACATAGCTTGGACATCTACAGTGCGTCAGGTGCTAGAGATAGTATGGAACAGTCTGTGCCTCTGGGAGCTTGCTGCCTGGTACATGCAGGATGCAGTTAAATAGGCAATTATAGTAGAATGTGCTGCTTCCCAGCATACCTGCACCCTGTTTCCTCTGGCAGTGCACAGGCAGGATACCTTACATAGCCATGAGTGTGGTAGAAGGAAGGAGAATGTCAGCACAGCCTTCCAAGAAGGATTGATGCCTAAGCCGAGGTCTGAAGCGTTGAATTGGAGTCAGCAGGATGAAGTAGAGAGGGTTCCAACAGCATGTGCAGAGACCCAGAGACATAGAGACCTGATGTGTTCGGGCAGCCAACAACCACAACACCATAGAGTTATTTAGACAGGGTGCAGAACCAGGAATTACAAAAGTATCCTGAAGCACAGTCATGTTCAGTGACTGTGTGTGTGTGTGTGATTTTACTAAAAATAATATTTGTTAAAGATCCCACCAACATCCAGCAAGACCTGGGGAAGAAGCTTTGGGAGACTAACCTGGGAATTGCTTTGGGTAAGAGTGCTGCATGTTATTTAGAATCTACGCTGATTCATAACCTGGTCTGGGAACAAATAATCTAAAATGGGTTCCAAACACTCAACTTTGTGGTGGTTTTATGGGGACTGAAGGACCCCATTCCTTCACTTTTTTACAACTTTATAAGTGTGAAATGCTGAAGATGTTCCTTAGGGCTTAGTCATGGAGTTATGGCTTCTCAGAGTTGAAAAAGCATTTAAGATACTTGAGTCCAGCCCTCCGTCTAGTACTCAAATAACGCTGTTCATCATCTCCAATAATTGGTAGAACATTTTGGTCTATTCTTGAAAATCTACTGTGACAAGGAGCTTATTATACACTGGGACACAGTTTCCTATTTGTCCAGTCCTGACTGTAAGAAAGTTCCCTTCCTTATATAGAACCAAAATTCATCTCTGACCATTTAGTGCAAGCCCTACTTGTTGGCCATTAAAAAAAGTACATATCATGAGCAGTTTTGAAGATGATGGGCCCTGAATTAAAGTACCTGTGTTATGTAGTTCAGCTCTGAAACAGATTAGCTGTGTGACCCTGGGATGGTCATTTCACCCGTCCTTTCCTCAGTTTACTCGTCTATAAAATGGATAACATCACGACACTCCATAGGGTTGATATTTGGAGCAATCAATGAATACACATGACCTAGTTACACATAGTGAGTGTTAAATGGACGCAAGGCCTTGTGGGAGTTGCTGTTGTATACAATTGTTACACCCCTTCCTTATGACAGTCCTTCCAAAATTTTTCAGATTGCATGTTCCCCAGATCTTCTCTCTTCTTTCACATGCATTTCCAACTGTGTCCATGACTTCTCATGAATTGTACTGTTAACTTTTCTCATCATCTGGGCAGGACGCTGTGAACTCAAGCTGGTATTGGTGTCTATCTTGGGGCCATATTTTGAATGTGAGGATCCATTCGTTGTGATCAGCAGAGTAGGACAGAGCTAGCTTGGCCTTTGTGCTAGATAATATGCCTGCATGACTAGAGATCAATACCATGTCTGTTTCATAGTAGCATATCACACAGGTCACTTGTGGAATTTATTCTTACTATAATACTTAAAAATTTTTCTCAATATGCTGCTTCTTGGCCTGGTGTTGTTTAGTATAAATGATGGTGATCTGGATGAGGAAATAGAAAGTGTGCTTATAATGCCTGCCCTTAGAGATGATTTTGATAAGTTGAAGAATTGGCAGAGATAAGCAGCATAGCGTTCCCTAAGATGGTTTGATAGGGCTGGGTGTGGTGGCTTGTGCCTATAATCCCAGCACTTTGGGAGACTGAGGCCACTTGAGCCCAAGAGTTTGAGACCAGCCTGGGCAACATAGTGAAACACCCATCTCCACAAAAAATAAAAAAGTCAGCCAGGTGAGGTGGCACACACCTGTAGTCCCAGCTACTTGGGAGGCCAAGGTGGGAGGATCGCTTGAGCCTGGGAGGTTGAAGCTTCAGTGAGCTGTGATGGGGCCACTGCACTCCAGCCTAGGTGACAGAGCAAGACCATGTCTTAAAAAAAAAAAATTATAAGGGCCCCTAGAAAGAAGAAAAAAACCTATCTAAAATTTGAATACAGGGTTCGAGACCAGCCTGACCAACATGGAGAAACCCCATCTCTACCAAAAATATAAAATTAGCTGGGTGTGGTGGCACATGCCTGTAATTCCAGCACCTTGGGAGGCTGAGACGGGAGCATCACTTGAACCCAGGAGGCGGAGGTTGTGATGAGCTGAGATCATGCCATTGCGCTCCAGCCTGGGCAACAAGAGCGAAACTCCGTTACAAAACAAAACAAAAAAAGAAAGTTAAATACAGGGGACCTGGGGCTAGGGGAAGAACCAGGCATTTGCAGAACTACAAACTGGTCAGGACTTGCACATTACACTAGAAATTCAGGGCCAGCCTAGGAGAACTCACTCCAGCCACTGCACTCAAGCCTGGGTGACAGGGCGAGACTCTGTCTCAAAACAAAAACAAACAAAAAAACCCAAATTGGGTTACAACAAATTTAGGTTGATAAAACTTTCACGAAAGTGAGTTAAACATAGAGATGGTTCACTGGAGGGTGCATTGAAATCAGGCCTGTAAATATTTAATGACAAGAAAGGGAAAATCAGCAAGTGCTCTTGAGTGTCTAAATGTCAAAAGGGACTAAATCCATCATGTTCTCAGCATGCTGCAAAAGAGGCTTCCAGCAACCAGAGGCGACATACTTCTTGAAAGGAAGTCATCTTTCAAACAAGGCAAGACCGCCATCTGCACTTATTCATGTTAGCCCTAGGGCCCTGCACAGGGTCTCACACAGCAGAAACGCTCAGTAAATAGTTTCTAAATTTAATGACTTCATATTTCTAAGCATTAGAGTTAGTCTCTGCTTTATTCCCTAATAGTGAACACATCTGTTTGTGGGATGTGTAGCTAAACTTAGCAGTGGTGGAGCTGACTGAATGGCCCTTACAGTTACTAGAACTATTTCTGTAGCCTTGTCCCAAGTGAGAAGTCCCACGCATCTGCAGATGAATCAGGAGTTCATTCTCTTCCCATGTCGTAGATTTGGGGATTTGTCACATTCCCTTCAGCTGCTGCTGCTGCTGCTTTTTAATTTTAAACAAAAACAATTCTTTTAAAAGAATCACGAGTTCATTCTCTTCCCATGTGGTAGATTTGGGGATTTGTCACCTTCCCTTCAGCTGTTGCTGCTGCTGCTTTTAAATTTTAAACAAAATAGAAATGGGTTCTCAGTGTGTCACCCAGGCTGGTCTTGAACTCCTGGCCTCAAGCAGTCTTCCCACCTTAGCCTCCCAAAGTGCTGGGATTATAGGCGTGAGCCACCACACCTAGTTGTTCAGCTTCTTCTGTTACTTGAAATAAGTTAAGGTCCTTTAATAGTTTCACAATTCCTGAGCCAGGCGCCATGGCTCACACCTGTAATCCCAGAACTTTGGGAGGCCGAGGCAGGTGGATCACTTAAAGTCAGGAGTTCGAGACCAGCCTGGCCAACATGGTGAAACCCCGTCTCTACTAAAAATACAAAATTTAGCCGAGCGTGGTGGTGCACACCTGTAATCCCAGCTACTCAGGAGGCTGAGATGAGAGAATCCCTTGAACCTGGGAGGCAGAGGTTGCAGTGAGCCAAGATCATTCCATTGCACTCCAGCCTAGCCAACAGAGCAAGACTGCATCTCAAAAAAAAAAAAAAAAAAAAAAGAAGAAGTTTCATAATTCCTGAATTCCGAATCAGAAGCTGTAATATTACTGATTACATTGAGGAGAAACTGGTACTGAGGTGATTTATCCCTTGAAAGAACACTTTGGACATGTTACAGACAGGTATTCCAGATCGCATTTCCCATGAACTACCATATTATTTTGTTTTAATTTTGATTATAATTATTTTCTCTTCTAATTTTTTCCTCTTTAAAAATTGAAATATATTTTATATATAGCCAAATACACAGATGTTAAATGTCCAATTTTACGAGTTTTGACAAATGCATGTGCCTTTGAACCCACATTGCTATCAGAGTAGACCTCTTAATTTTTGTTTTATTATTTTAAAATTTATATTGTGTTTTTATTTCCTTCTGTAGAAATGAGGTCTCGCTATGTTGCCTAGGCTGCTCTTGCCTCAAGATAGCCTCCTGCCTCAGCCTCCCAGTGTGCTAGTATTACAGGCGTTATCCACTGCTCCCAGCTGTCTCTCAATGTTTGAATCAACTAGTTTCAAAACTTCTAAGAGTCAGCTTGCTTGTGAACCCTGGGAGGTCAAGGATCAGCCATCTCTTGTTCATGGCTGCCTCCGCAGCGCCAAACACAGTGCCTAGCAACTTTTTTGCACACAATAGATACAATGCATGCAATAGATATTAAGTGAGTAAGTAGATGAGAAGTAATTCAGCCCTCACTTAATTTACATAGCATTGTCAACTCATAGCTCTGGCATATGCTGTGGTTTTCCGAAATCTTCCATGATCATCAGTTAATTTTGATGCTCTTTCTCTGTATGCATCATGTGTGAGTAATAGCTATGTGGACTAACAGGTTCGCACATTTTAATAGAAACAAGTCAACCTGCAGGCACGGTTTATATTTACGCAATCTTTATTTTCAACCTTCTGGTTGCCGTAGTCATGCTTTTTTAGATAAATAATTTTTAAAGTTCTATTTGGCAATTAATTACTCATGAGTAGGTGGAAATATGACCAGGTCTGACCAGGCACCTGTGTCTGTTACATGCTCTCTCTGACTTCCTCAAGCTCTAAATATAGGTCTGTACAGTTGGTAGGATTAAGCACGGTGACATTAATTTCGTAACTGTGTATCAGAATGCTGCTAAAATAACCAGTTTCCTAATGGAAACTTAGAAAAAGTCAACTTGACTGAAGTCCTCACCCTCTCACATTTTAATTTTGCTATAGGTCATCACTCCTCAAAATGGACGTTACCAAATAGACTCTGATGTTCTCCTGATCCCTTGGAAGCTGACTTACAGAAATATTGGTTCTGATTTTATTCCTCGGGGAGCCTTTGGAAAGGTATACTTGGCACAAGATATAAAGACGAAGAAAAGAATGGCGTGTAAACTGGTATGTGTTATGTAACTAGATAACCCACACTGTGTGTTTGGCATTCTGGCTTTTGTTTGTTTGTCCATTTGCATTAACCAAATATTTTTATCCTTTGATTGGATCTTATCTAAGGGTGCACTGCCTCAAAGCATTTGTTTTTCTGAATTCATTGGCTACTTGGGGCCATTCAGCCCCAAAATCTCTGTTTAGGAGCATAGTTGATTTTAATCTAGATGATTACAAGGAAAGTGCTGGTTTTTAAAGCACTGATTTGGATAAATAACATCATCACTCTTGGAGAGAGGTAGAGAAGAGCCATCCTGCGAAGTAGAAGCAATTCTATGTGATTCTCTTTCATTCAGCTGCGGAGGGGGCCAGGCAGAGGCAGATTGGGAAGGAGGTAGCCTTCTCAGGAAGGCAGATTTAAAAGGCTGAATTTAAATATATCAATGATTGAAAAGACCCTATCCCTTCTTTTTTTTTTTTTTTTGAGACAGAGTCTTGCTCTGTTGTCCAGGCTGGAGTGCAGTGTCAGGGTCTTGGCTCACTGCAAACTCCACCTCCTGGGTTCAAACAATTCTCCTGCATCAGCCTCCCAAGTAACTGGGATTACAGGCACCCACCACCATGCCCACCTAATTTTCATATTTTAGTAGAGATGGGGTTTTGCCATATTGGCCAGGCTTGTCTCGAACTCCTGACCTCAAGCCATCCACCTGCCTTGGTCTCCCACAGCACTGGAATTACAGGCGTGAGCTGCCGCACCTGGCCTGATGTGGTTTTTCATTTTGATTTAGATGGGGGTTACATTTGTACATTCAGTTGATAATTCATTGAGTTGGACTCATCATTTTTACACTTTTTTGTATGTCTGTTTTGCTTTAATTAATTTTTCAAAAAGTACAACAAAAAATACACTCACTTTTGATTTAACAAAAAATAAAATAAATAATTGCCAAATATTATGTCTTGGTCTCTCCTATTGTAATAAGAGAGTAGCTGGGATTACAGGCGTGCACAACCAATGCCTGGCTAATTTTTGTATTTTTTGTAGAAATGGGGTTTCGACATGTTGGCCAGGCTGGTCTTGAACTCCTGGCCTCAAGTGATCTACCCACATTGGCCTCCCAAAGTGTTGGGATTACAGGCATGAGCCACCGTGCCCAGCTTCAGTGCTTATTTTAAATACGTTGCTATAATAGAGTATGAACTGTGGCAACAAACACTTCATACTATCTCACAATAAACTGAAATATTGAAAATACAACCTAAAATCTAGGTACCAAAGATACTGTTGTCTAATAGGTGGGAAATTATCTCTTTTTTGATTCATTCATAATTTGAAAACATTGGATGGATTTCTGACTTCTAAGTGAAAATAATAACTCATTATTTTGTTTTTTATTTTCTTGTTCTGAATTTTATACTGAAAGCTGACTAACATAGTTAAAGGCAGATCTGAGGCAAACAGTATTGTACCTGGGCAGTCCGTTTTCACACAGGGCAGAGTATTCTTGAGGACATTTATTTGCCTTTTGGTTTTTGCATTGACCTATATTATATATTTTTAAGATGACTTTGGGGTTGTTTAGAATCTCGCTCGTATTTTTGTGTTCCAGATCCCAGTAGATCAATTTAAGCCATCTGATGTGGAAATCCAGGCTTGCTTCCGGCACGAGAACATCGCAGAGCTGTATGGCGCAGTCCTGTGGGGTGAAACTGTCCATCTCTTTATGGAAGCAGGCGAGGGAGGGTCTGTTCTGGAGAAACTGGAGAGCTGTGGACCAATGAGAGAATTTGAAATTATTTGGGTGACAAAGCATGTTCTCAAGGGACTTGATTTTCTACACTCAAAGAAAGTAATCCATCATGATATTAAACGTAAGTATCTTTGGACATACACCTTTTTGGCTCAAAGAGACTAGTTATTCAGGAGACAAACAAGCTCCTTCCTGTAATCTGAAGACCCTCCATGAAGGATGGAAAGCTCCCTCAGAGCACCGTCCATCTTCCTTCTCCAGAGACATGTCTTAGAATCATGCGGGGTTACTAGAGCTTTCCAAGTCATACAGAAAGATTACTTTGAACAGTTGTTGAAAAGTTATAGCTACATACCTCTTAGGTACTGCTCTGTTAAAAAGGCTTTTAAAATTGCAGTTTAGGCTGGGCGTGATGGCTCATGCCTGTAATCTCAGCACTTTGGGATGCTGTGGCACATGGATCACCTGAGGTCAGAAACTGGAGACCAGCCTGGCCAATGTGGTGAAACCCTGTCTCTACTAAAAATACAAAAAAAAAAAAAAAAATTAGCTGGGCGTGGTGTTGGGTGCTGGTAATCCCAGCTACTTGGGAGGCTGAGGCAGGAGAATCATTTGAATCTGGGAGGCGGAGGTTGCAGTGAGCTGACATGGCGCCATTGCACTCCAGCCTGGGTGACAACAGCAAAACTCCGTCCCCTCCCCACCAAAAAAAATGCGATTTACTTAAAAACATACAAACACAGAGACAAATATTTTTGAGAAACAAATACCTCTTTCATTTTGTATACCAATGTAATAATAATCCATTAAACACAACTTTGATAACTGTTTTCTAGGAGTCTGATATGATGAGGAAATAGGTAAACCTTTAATAGCCGGTACTAAATTAGAGTGGCATAACTTTTACTGGGGGAAAAAAATGGGTATTTTACTTTTCTGCTTTAGAAAAGTGGCTTGACAACAATATGCTTATGTCGTAGAGTTTGAAACTCAAGTTCTTGACCATTATTAATGGCTACAATCATTCATACCCACATTGGCTGAATTCCTGATGGATCCGAAGTGATTTTCACCTAAAATCTGAGATGCATTCTCCCCTTTTGAATATAATACACCCATCTCACTAGAGGAAGCATTTCAGTCTTTTCTGATTTGAGATTCATTATTGTTTCAGATAATGTTTTCATTTGACTTATGAATATATAAAAAATTTTATCTTAAAAAATTTCCTCTCATTTTAGCTAGCAACATTGTTTTCATGTCCACAAAAGCTGTTTTGGTGGATTTTGGCCTAAGTGTTCAAATGACCGAAGATGTCTATTTTCCTAAGGACCTCCGGGGAACAGAGGTAATTATATTCACATGAAAAGGGTTACTATTTTATTAAGAATAAAAAAGGAAAAATTGTTCTATAATTATCGTGGGAATGAAGGACAAAGAAGGGAAAGAAATCCATTGCATTAAATCATTATTATCCTTGGAACACGTTTAATGAGCACTTGCTCTGTGTCAAGTACTAAGTTTAGCACTTGATTTTTTATTTTATTTTTTGCTATGTTATTTATAATACATAATAGTATTTGTAATATAATATACATGTTGATATATAGAACATTTCTATATATAGAACATATATAGAACATTTATAAACAATGTAATGACAAAATAGATCATATTTGCCCGGTGTGGTGGCTCATGCCTATAATCCCAGTGCTTTGGGAGGCTTAGGTGGGAGGATTAATTGAGCCCAGGACTTTGAGACAAGCTTAGGCATCATAGCAAGACCCCATCTCTATAAAAAAAATTCGTTCAGGCTGGGCACGGTGGCTCACACCTGTAATCCCAGCACTTTGGGAGGCTGAGGTGGGCTGATCACCTGAGGTCGGGAGTTCGAGACAAGCCTGACCAACATGGCAAAACCCCATCTCTACTAAAAATACAAAATTTGCTGGGCATGGTGGTGGGCACCTGTAATCCCAGCTACTCGGGAGGCTGAGGAAGGAGAATCATTTGAACTCGGGAGGCAGAGGTTGAGGTGAGCCAAGATCGCGCCATTGCACTCCAGCCTGGGCAACAAGAGTGAAACTCCATCTCAAAAAAAAAAAAAATTAGTTCAGTGTGGTGGTACACCCCTGTAGTCCCAGCTAGTTGGGAGGCTGAGGTAGGAGGATTGCTTGAGCCTAGGAGTTCAAGGCTGCAGTGAGCCATGGGCACTCCAGCCTGGAAGACAGAACAAGACCTTGTTTCAAACCCTCCCCTCCCCCACAAATAGATCATATCCACAGTTCAGCTTTATGTTGTGTGGTTTTGGTTTTGGTTTTGGTTTTGGTTTGTTTTGTTTTGAGACAGAGTCTTACTCTGTGGCATGATCTCAGCTCACTGCAATCTCCACCTCCTGGGTTCACACGCTTCTTAGCCTCCTGAGCAGTTGAGATTACAGGTGTGTGCCACCACATCCAGCTAATTTTTTGTTTATTTTGCTTTTTCAGTAGAAATGGGGATTTCACTATGTTGGCCAGGCTGGTCTTGAACTGTTGGCCTCAAGTGATCCTCCCGCCTCCCAAAGTGCTGGGACTATAGGTGTGAGCCCCCGTGTCTGGCCCACAGTTCAGCTTTCATAATAATTGTAGAATTATAGTTAACTTTATAATAAGTTTAGCCCTTAAAAAGCAGTATGTTATTTAATCCTTACAACAACCCAGTTGTTGTAAATACTATTATTGTAAGCAGATTCTATTGTTATTCTCATTTCACAATAAAGGAAATAAGTTTGCAGAGATTAAAATAAAGTGTCCAGAGTCACTCAGTGACAGACTCTGGACTTGAACCCAGTTCTTTCTAAGTCTAACCCTAAAGTCTAACTGCTACATAACTTTAAAAAAATATACTACTATATACATTATTAAAATATATTACTGATATAACTAATATCACTTTGTTTTGGCTCAATGACAGTCTTAATTATCATGATCATTAATATTTATGAGGACTTTGAAGGCCTCTCTTTGAGCCTAGGAATCCTATAATAAACCTTCAAGTAGTGAGCATAAATGTATCTTATTTAAAGATGTAAAATAGCACTCATGTTTAACTCATCTGTGAAGCAAAAAACAACCCAGAAAAGCCTTTCTTTCCTGACTCTAAATGAGATTCTGAAAAATTCATTCGAGGGCTTCCAAATAATATATTTAACATTCACATCATTATGCTGGCTGGTTGATTCAATTAGCAAGTGTCCGCTGAGCATCTGCTATGTGGCAGGTTCTTGTGGGCACCAACAAGGAAGCATGAGACAAGGCAATGAGGAGCAAGCCTTAGTGGTACTCCAGCAATCCTCACTCTTTGGTAGGGGGACTTACTTTAAATTACCTGAATTATTAAAAGAGCAACTGTTTAGGGATGAGCATGGTGTTCCCACACCTGTAATCCCAACCCTTTGAAAGGCCAAGGAGGTGGGGGTGGTTTGCTTGAGCCTAGGGGTTCGAGACCAGCCTAGGCAATATAGTGAGACCTCATCTCTTTTGAAAAAAAAAAAAGAAGGAAGAAAGGAAGGAAAATGGAGGAGGGAGGGAGGGAGAGAGAGAGAGTGGGAAGGAAGGAAGGAAGGGAGGGAGGGAGGGAGGGAGGAAGGGAGAGAAGAAAGAAAGAAAGAAAGAAAGGAAAGGAAGGAAGGAAGGAATGATGGAAGGGAAGAAAGGAAGGAAGGAAGGGAAGAAAGGAAAGAAAGAGAAAGAAAGAGAAAGAAAGAAAAAGAAAGAAAAAGAGAAAAGAAAGAGCACAACAGTTTAGTTCACAGTTGATTGTGATGGGCACAAGGTTGGGTGCAAGCAGGAAGGTAAATGGGTGTAAAATTGCCTCCTTGGCCCCTCACCACTACTGGGGGAAACTTCACTGCCTGAGCCACTCAGCCCCATGCCCTTCTCTTTGCTGGAAGTGCCCATAGGAAATAGAGAGAGGGTCTTTGACTGCACCTCTATGTCAAGGTTACCAGGTCGGTCTTGGTGTTCAATCAGATGACAGCCCTTAGTCTAGTTTAGCTAGTATACGTGTTGCACTGAACTGGATTGCAGCAACAGAAAAATTATCTTCCTTTCAAACCAAGATTCTTCCAGCCTGGGCAACATTATGAGACCCCATCACTACAAAAAGTAAACAAACAAACAAAAACTTTACTTTTGTAAAAATGGCATGGTGGTGCATGTCTGTAGTCCCAGCTACTCAAGAGACTGAGGTGGGAGGATTGCTTGAGCCCAGGATGAGGCTGCAGTGAGCTGTGATTATGCCACTGCACCCATAGCCTGGACAGTAGAACAAGACCTTGTCCTAAAAAAAAAAAACAAGATTCTGTAAGTGCTTTCTCAACTCTCTCAAAGCCAAGACTCTCCGGGGCAACAGAAGAAATCCTTCTTTTGCAAATATTACCAAAGTTATTATTGAAAATACTCAAGCAGGGATTCTTGATAGTTTGAGCCGAACAATATTCAGAAGGGAAACTGTAGTTTGTTTGTTTGTTTGTTTTTAAGAATGCTTAGTCCCTAGATCTTAAAAATACTTTACCAAAATGTGAGATCTCATAAGACTTAATGCTTACGACATGTTTTCTTTGGAAAATGTTTCAGCATATTTGGCGTTAGTCAGGAGTTCAGATATGTAATATTCCACCACCCTTTTTCCTGGAACCAGTTTAAGAAACAAACTATTTATGGTATGAAAGATGGAAAATACTTTTCTCTTCCTGGCAGTGTGGTGAAGTCGAACATTTTGCAACATTGGAGAAAGAAGTGTTCTTTCTGGGGCTGTCTAGCAGAATGCATGAATGTGAGATAATAACATATTTTACTCCTGAGTAGTATTTGGATCAGGTTATTTTTGGCAAATGCAAATTGCTTTTTGTGAGGTGCAAAACTGAGCCTCGGTGTTTATAAATATAAACCCTCTTCTAATCAGCCTGCATTTACTATCTGCCTAATACACACGAGTTGAAGTTTGGTAATGAACAAAGTTGTGAAGTCACCAATGAAACCTTTCAACAAGCTTGCTTTTGCTCTTCCTACTTAAAGAGCTAGGAGATCAAATTAGTCAGTCAACTGTGCAGATTGGCTGATGTTAGAATTTGATCATGTGGCTACTGCACAGTCATAGACAATTTCTGATTTCTGCAGTATAGCTCCCAAATGCAAATCCTGCTTACCCCTGTTTGATTTCTCTCTCTAAGCATCGGTATTCAGAGCATTCTACTGTAACCATGTAATACACATACAGGGTTAATCTGGTGTGTACAGAACCAACTGTTTTTGAGTTACATGGTACAAAGAAAGAATACATTGTGAATGTGAATAACAAATCAGAATTACTTTTAGAACTTGGTCCTTTTTGAAAAGTCCTTCTAAGTCTGCTAGGTTTTACTTTTGTAAGTTAACTATATAATCATCACACGCACATATACACACACATACGGTCTCTTTCCCTTTCTAATAAACATATTGAGAGGTGAAGGGTTCGATCACTGACATCAAGGTTTTCTCTTGCTCCGGTGCCCAGCCCCAAGGGTGCAGAACTCTCAGAGAACCCTGTCTTGGCCCCACCAGGGATGTTTCATGCCTTCTAATCAGCCAGAGTGCTTGAATATCATGCTCTGCTGCTCCGTGATCTATCTGGTAGTTGGTAGAGCTTGAAGAACAAGAGCCCTGAGCCAGGGTTTCTGCCTGAGGGGCAGCACCCAGGCCACCAGGCTTACAGATGCTCCATCTCCCCAGGCTGCCTAGGCGTGCAGTCACGTAGAACCTGCAGAGCCACCTCTGCACAACCCCTGTTGCCTACACCAGCAGTGAGGACTCGGCCCAATCCTTGCTGTATTGGCGGGGAGGAGGGGGTACAGGAGAGAAGGTAGGCATCCTCTATGGACAGTTAATAATACCCATTGCATTTCCTTTTCTTTTTTTATTTGATTGTGTTAATAACACTTAGCATGAACTCTACCCTCTCAACAAATTTTTAAGTATACAATACACTATTGTTGACTATAGGTACAATGTTGTGCATTAATTTTTTAACTTTGTGATCTATTTAGTAGCAAAGTCCTTCTGGAAATTCCTTTGGCTTTGCTGCAGGGAAAGCTTGAGAACAGGAGCTCAGTTTGACCTGTTTGCTGAGAGCAAAAGGAAGCTGGCCCGGAAGTGGCTTGTAGGAAGGAGTTGAGCAGGATTAGGGTGGGGAGACTGGGCAGTTTCTTCGGTTTTTGTAAGCTAGTTCTCTACTTACTTACCCTGAAATGTATTCCGGGAACACTGACCTCCGTTCTCTTATTCACGTGGCAGACAGTGTACAAGCTGTTTCAAGCGAAATATTGATAATTAGGATATTAACTACTATATGTCTGCACCAGCCATGAATACAAATAACTGGTCACCAGTGTTTACTGTATTCCTTTTTAAAAAAAATGTTTAATTAAATTAGGTAACTAACTAATTTGTAAAGATGGGGGGTCTCCATCTTGTCCAGACTGGTCTCAAACTCCTAGGCTCAAGCAATCTTCCTGCCTCGGCCTTCCAAAGTGCTGAGATTCGGTGGCTCACGCCTGTAATCCCCGCACTTTGGGAGGCTGAGGCAGGTGGATCATGAGGTTAGGAGTTTGAGACCAGCCTGGCCAACATGGTGAAACCCCCTCTCTACTAAAAATACAAAATTAGCCAGGCATGGTGACACACGCTTGTAATCCCAGCTAGTTGGGAGGCCGAGGCAAGAGAATAGCTTGAACCCGGGAGGCAGAGGTTGCAGTGAGCCAAGATCGCGCCATTGCATTGCATTCCAGCCTGGGTGACAGACGGAGACCCCGTCTCAAACAAAACCAAAAATAAACGAAAAAAACCCAAAGTGCTGAGATTATAGACATGAGCCACCATGCCCCACCTCTCTTTGTTTCTTTCTTAAGTTTAGAAATAAATGCTTCTTAGAGAAACTATTTATAAAACCAACCCCGTTTATTCAGCATGGACTCATGAAACCAAAAATAACTTATACAATGTTAATATGGCTGCATTTAATATTTAGTCACTGGGCTACATGGTAGGTAAAAATAACAGATAGTTTGTAAAAATGACTCTTTAGAATCACTTTCACAACATTACACTTTATTTTTTAAGTTTTTCCCTTTCAAGACATTTGTGTTAATACCCTATAGATTTATATCGCCTTTTATCATTGCAGATATTTAGAGGGTTAGCAATGTAACAACAAACAGATCAAGAAGTCTATTTGTAGTTCATTTAAATATAAAAGTAATTGGCTGTTAGTAGAAAACTTAGCTGCACCTGATCAGTGTACTGCAGAACTTTGATGAGTGGCAGTCCCGGATAGATTCCTGGTTCTAGTCTCTTTGCTGCCAGATCAACCAGAAAAGGGTGTTTTTTTGTTTTGTTTTGTTTTGAGACGGAGTCTCACTCTGTCTCCCAGGCTGGAGTGCAGTGGTGCGATCTTGGCTCACAGCAGCCTCCACCTCCCAAGCTCAAGCAATTCTCCTTGCTTCAGCCTCCCAAATAGATGGGATTACAGGTGCCCACCACCATGCCCAGCTAATTTTTGTATTTTTAGTAGAGACCAGGCTGGCTTTGAACTCCTGACCTCAACTGATCTGCCCACCTCGGCTGGGATTACAGGTGTGAGCCACTGCGCCCAGCCAGGTGTTCTTTATCGGACCGCAGGGACACCTCCAGCAAGAGCTGCATGGTTCCTGGGGAATGCCTGCATTATTCTCCTAGTTTAAGGCGCATGAGTCAATTTCCTAAACTGGAGTAGGGAAATGGAACCCCACACAAAGGAGGGGAATGAAGCTGAATGTTTGCCACTTCTTTTTCAGATTTACATGAGCCCAGAGGTCATCCTATGCAGGGGCCATTCAACCAAAGCAGACATCTACAGCCTGGGAGCCACGCTCATCCACATGCAGACGGGCACCCCGCCCTGGGTGAAGCGCTACCCTCGCTCAGCCTATCCCTCCTACCTGTACATAGTAAGTACATAGTAAGTGGGGTTCAACCAGGCCTGGGGCGGGGTAGGGGCTGAGTTATGCATCCCGCAGGCTGGGAGGGACTGCTCTGCCTTCTATACCACCGCCATCTGAATGAGGGAATGGTGAAATGACAGGTAGCTACAAGTTCTTCCCATGTAGAAGCAAGCTCCATTCTTGCAAAGAAAACATAGCTATTTTATTGGGAGCTTACTAAAATGTGCATTGGGCATAATTATGCTATTCCATTTTATGTGTAATAATGCAATACTACTAGCATCAGAGTAGCCTAAATGTATCAGCCACTGAAGTTGTATATGTTCTTTGAACACTTAAAACATTTTTTATTATTAATGTTCACACCAGGGTGGCTGGTAGTGGAATATGCAATTCCCATTTTACTGTTGATAAATTCAGAAGCAGACACTTCCCTGTTACTACATAGTGACTTTTGGGCCACTGATTTGAAGCTGTCACTGACATTCAAACCTAGCACTTATCTTTTGTAACATTAAACCAGAAGATGGGTTTAACCTGGTATCCTTTAGAAATTAAACGATGGCTCACGCCTGTAATCTCAGCACCTTAGAAAGCCAAGGCAAAAGGATCTCTTGAGCCCAGAAGTTCAAGACCAGCCTGGGCAGCAAAGCAAGACCCCATCTCTACAAAAAATAAAAAAAAAAATTAGCTAGGTGTGGTAGTGTATGGCCTGTGGTCCCAGCTGCGTGGGAGGCTGAGGTGAGAGGATCACTTGAGCCCAGGAGTTCGAGGCTACAGTGAGTTGTGTTCATGCCACTGCTCTCCAGTCTGGACAACAGAGCAGAGACCCTGTGTCAAAGGGAAAAGAAAAAATAAATTAAAGGGAAGCTTGCTTGCTTAAGGGCACGAACTGCATTTGTTGCAGGGCATGTGGTGGGAAACGGATTACTTTCTAGGTCCTGTTACTACCGTGCGTTTGCTGTTGAGGGTGTATCTCCATACCTTTGATGCTAAGAGAGCTGGTTTGTTCATAGATCCACAAGCAAGCGCCTCCACTAGAAGACATTGCAGATGACTGCAGTCCAGGGATGAGAGAGCTGATAGAAGCTGCGCTGGAGAGAAACCCCAATCACCGCCCAAGAGCCGCAGACCTACTAAAACATGAGGCCCTGAACCCGCCCAGAGAGGATCAGCCACGCTGTCAGAGTCTGGACTCTGCCCTCTTTGAGCGCAAGAGGCTGCTGAGTAGGAAGGAGCTGGAACTTCCTGAGAACATTGCTGGTAAGGACACCCTGCTGTGTGCCGTACCCTTGCTTCCCTTCTGTTTCTGTCCACATCCAGCCTCTAATGTAGTTCATGAAAGCACTTGGAAAAAAGGGAAATAACTTCTTGAGTACCATACCTTGCTTGAGAAATTTCAGCAAGATTAACAGAACCAGGTTTTTTTTTTTTTTAAATTGGCTAATTTAGCACCAAATTATAATAGATTTTCAGTGCAAGTGTAGGTAGCACAGTCACTGGAAAATGCTTCTGACTTGCTTTTCTACAACTTGCTTTTTCGCAACGTTTGTCTTAACTCACCTTTTTTTTTGTTGTTGTTGTTGTTGTTGTTTGAGATGGAGTCTTGCTTAGTTGCCCAGACTGGAGTGCAGTGGCATGATCTTGGGTCACTGCAACCTCTGCCTCCTGGGTTCAAGTGATTCTCATGCCTCAGCCTCCTGAGTAGCTGGGATTGCACGTGCCCACCACCATGTCTGGCTAATTTTTGTATTTTTAGTGGAGACAGGGTTTTACCATGTTGGCCAGGCGGGTCTCTTAACTCCTGACCTCAGGCAATCCACCTGCCTCCCAAAGAGCTGGGATTACAGGTGTGAGCCACCGTGCCCAGCCTAACTCATTTATATTAAGCCACCCCAGTCCTTGGTGGGGGAACATCATGGCACTGCCCTGCATGGATAAAATACTGAGTTTGAAGTCAACTTGCATTTCCATCTTCCTTGGCTTAAAATCTTGCCAGTTGTAAATTTTTCCCACTTAAGAAAGTCTGTATGCATTCCAGGAGCATTGAATATGCACAGACAAGGGTTTCCATTTTTATTAAAAATCTGTGGCATTCTTAATCCATTTAGGTCCAAACCCAGATGTCAAACCTGGCGCACTTATTTATATTTCTTTGCTGCTTGTCTGACTTTTGTGTATTTAAAGAGAACGATCTGGCTGTTGGAAAAATATGCCAGGATTTCTAACTAATTTCTTGTCTCCATTGACTCCTGTTTGAACTTTTTGTTCTATGTCCTATTATGTGAACTTATCCATAATGTTCCAAGACCCATCTTTCACACTTAAGACACTGTTTTATTAGGCCCCAAAGGATTTATTTCACTGCAGAAGGAACAGGTATTATTTGGCAGGTTTTCTTGTAACTTACTTTTTAATGTTTTCCTTTTCAGATTCTTCATGCACAGGAAGCACTGAGGAATCTGAGATGCTCAAGAGACAACGCTCTCTCTACATAGACCTCGGCGCTCTGGCTGGCTACTTCAATCTTGTTCGGGGACCACCAACACTTGAATATGGCTGAAGTGGCATGTTTTGGCATGCCACTTCAAAAAACATGTCATGTTTGCTCTAAATTAAGATAGCGTTGATCTCCTTGGGGGCTGGTTCTGCTGCCTTGACACAGGGGCCCTGGACAGTGAATGGTGCCAGTTTTGAAGGAGCAGTGTGACCTCCCGTGACCCATGAATGTGCCTCCAAGTGGCTCCTGTGTGTTTGACTTGTGAAGCTATCTGATAACGCACCAGGTCTCAAGGTTCTCATTTCTCAGGTGATGTGATTCTAAGGAAGGAATTTGAGAGTTCACAGAAGGATCGTGTCCGCTGACTGTTCCATTCACTGTGCACTTTGCTCAAAATTTTAAAAATACCCATCACGAGGATAACAGAGTAGCCTAAAATTACTATTCTTGGTTCTTATTTAATTATGGAATCTTCATTTTACTCAGAATAGTTGTTTTGTGTATATTGGTGTATATTATATAACTCTTTGAGCCTTTATTGGTAAATTCTGGTATACATTGAATTCATTATAATTTAGGTGAATAGAACAACTTGAATATCGTAGCAATAAGCTGGACTAGTGTCTTAAAAATGGCTAACTGATGAATTAGAAGCCATCTGACAGCAGGCCACTAGTGACGGTTTCTTTTGTGTTCCTATGGAAACATTTTGTACTGTACATGCTATGCTTAAGACATTCAAAACATGATGTTTTGAATGTGGATACAACTGTGTAAACCACATAATTTTTGTACATCCCAAAGGATGAGAATGAGAAGAAAAATGAACACTTTTGTAAATTATTGATGATGCTCCTTTTGTAATTCTTATGACTCAATTTTCTTTTAAGCATTTGTATATTAAAATAGCATACTGTGTATGTATTATATCAAATGCCTTCATAAATCTTTCATATATGTGTGTATATATATGTATTTGTAACATTGTAAAGTATGTGAGTAGTCTTAAGTAAAGTGTGTTTTACATTATGCAAATAAAACCCAACACTTTTGTCCAATGTGACTGGTCAAATCAACTGAATAAATTCAGTATTTTGCCTTAGTTGTCGTGAAGCCTGTGATTCTCAACTGGGACTGAGGATGGGCTATAGGAGTTGAGATATAGACTGGAAGGAAATGTGTATCATAAGAAGGCAAAAAATACCAGGAGCTTTGCAAATTGTATTAACACACTCCTTTTCTATTGCTCTTGTATGAAGCTATTGTCAATTGGAATGGTTTGCATCCCCCTGGTACACTGAGGTAGAAAAAGTAACTGTGGTTGTGCCTGTAATCCCAACACTTTGGAAGGTTGAAGTGGGAAATCTGCTTGAGCCCAGGAGTTCGAGACCAGCCTGGCCAACATGGTGAAATCCTGTGTCTACAAAAAATACAAAAATTTGCCAGGTGTGATGGTGCACGCCTGTAGTCCCAGCTACTCAGGAGGCTGAGGTGGGAGGATCACTGAAGCCTGGAAGGTGAAGGTTGCAGTGAGCCAAGATCATGCCACTGCACTCCAATCTGGATAACAGAGGGAGGCCTTGTCCCCCTGCAAAATAAAATAATAATTGTGAGCCACTGGTTTAGGGTTATGTGGTTCTATTTTGCATCCTATTTTTATACATTTATACTATCCTTGAATACACGCTTGCATACTCTTTGTCCATTGTTACGTGGCAAGCTAATAACTAGCCATTGTAGAAGGTGGCTTTAACTCACATACATCAAATCTAGTGAAAGCTGTTGAATGGAAGTCTATCATCTACATAGCTAATAGTATTAAACACTTTTACATGTGTTATGTAAAACATGCCATCCCTTGTAATCCATGTAAATACACATGACATATGCATTGCTACCTCTTTTTTCTCAGAGAAGGAAATTGAGGCATAGCGAGGGTAAGTAACATTCCTCAAGACCACAAAGCAAGTGAAGAAACAGCTGGTATTTGAACCCAGGCCTTTCTGACTGCAATACACATGTTCTCCCTCATACGTTGCTGCTTGTAAGTGAGAGATCAACACTGCAGAGGAAACAATTTCCTTTTCTGCCCCTCTGGTAAGGGCAGAGGCAGATTGACCATGAAGCTAATGAAGCTTCAGCCTCAGGGCTCCTTACTTGCATGGGCGCCTCCATAGTCCTGTACCTAATTTTTTTAAATGTATTTTTTATTTCAATGACTTTCGGAGTATAAGTGGTTTTTGGTTACGTGAATGAATTATATAGTGGTGAATTATAAGACTTTAATGGACCCATCACCTGAGTAGTGTATGTTACACTCAATATGTAGTTTTTCATCCCACACCCCTCCCCTTTTTATTTTATTTTATTTATTTATTTATTTTGAGATGGAGTCTCACTCTGTTGCCCAGGCTAGAGTGCAGTGGCACAATCTTGGCTCACTGCAACCTCCGTCTCCTGGGTTCAAGCAATTCTCCTGCTTCAGCCTCCATAATCCCAGTAGCTGGGATTACAGGCATGCACCACCATGCCCAACTAATTTTTGTATTTTTAGTAGAGATGGGTTTTTGCCATGTTGGCCAGGCTGGTCTGGAACTCCTGACCTCAAATGATCTGCCCACCTTGGCCTCCCAAAGTGCTGGGATTACATGCTTGCTAGAGGTCACACAACCAGTGCTAGTGTCTTATCTTCTGATTGTCACCGCCCCCTTTGTATTTTCCTTGAGGTCTGTAAAATATTCAGAAGCAGGTGATGGAGACTGTACCAGGAATTTACTGGACCTGATGGGAATTTGCATAGCCTTGGAGAGATGCTTCTCATCTGGGGATCAGCCAGTGTCCGCGGTGCTAAATTTCTACCGATGACTGCCATGTCACTGAGCACCACGGTGGGACCTGGAAGGGATTCTGTCAGTCCCCTGGGCTCCTTGCTGACCCATGCTCCCTGTCTGGCAGACACAAGCAATTTGGTCTTTTATTGACAGCAAGTTATGAAAGGTCAGTGTTTTCTGGAGGGCCTGGGGGATATTTTTCATAGGCCTGTAACGTGACTAGGAGTAAGGATTGCTTGATGCCATGCCCCATGCGCACGCAGGAGGGAATGTGCCCAGCAGGAGAGCAGGCCTATTAATGGAGAGTTGAAGTCTCATAAGGACCAACTCTGGGTAAGGAACTGTGCTGGGCCCTGAAGGGGACACAAGTGAGAGAAGATTCTGGCCCCTCTAACTTATCCACTCTCTGCTGAAAGGAAGCACGTTCCATTTTGGAATTGTTAGGAGGTTCTTTGATTTAATGTATATCCCCATCTGCCTCCAAAAAGGCTTTTTTCATCAAGTATTTACTTGAAATTTTACCTTTTGCCTGTGAGCTGGCTTTCTAAATGTCCATTGAATCGCCAATGCATAAGAAGATGATGACTAAAAGAACATGGTTTAGGCAATCAGCATCAGGTTTCAAAAGCTTGCTTTGGGCCGGGCGCAGTGGCTCACACCTGTAATCCCAGCAGTTTGGGAGGCCAAGGCAGGCGAATCACCTGAGGTCAGGGGTTCAAGACCAGCCTGGCCAACATGGTGAAACCACGTCTCTACTAAAAATACAAAAAATTAGCCAGGCATGGTGGTGCATGCTTGTAATCTCAGCTACTTGGGAGGCTGAGGCATGAGAATCGCTAGAACCTGGGAGGTGGAGGTTGCAGTAAGACGAGATTGCACCGCTGCAGTCACTGAAGCCTGGGCAACAAGAGCAAAACTCTGTCTCAAAAAAAAAAAAAAAAGTTTGCTTTGGGCCAGAGAGAGGACAAATGCAAAGTAGTCATTTACTAAGCTTTTTTTTTGTTTTTGTTGTTTTTTATTTTTATTATACTTTTTTAAAATATATTCAGAAACTTTATTTTTTTTCTTTTTAATTATACTTAAATGTGGCACATATACACCATGGAATACTATGCAGCCATAAAAAAGGATGAGTTTGTGTCCTTTGTAGGGACATGGATGCAGCTGGAAACCATCATTCTCAGCAAACTATAGCAAGAACAGAAAACCAAACACCGCATGTTCTCACTCATAGGTGGGAACTGAACAATGAGATCACTTGGACTTGGGAAGGGGAACATCACACACTGGGGCCTATCACGGGGAGGGGGGAGGGGGGAGGGATTGCATTGGGAGTTATACCTGATGTAAATGACGAGTTGATGAATGCTGACAAGTTGATGGGTGCAGCACACCAACATGGCACAGGTATACATATGTAACAAACCTGCACGTTATTTTTATTATACTTTAAGTTCTAGGGTACATGTGCACAACGTGCAGGTTTGGTACATATGTATACATGTGCCATGTTGGTGTGCTGCACCCATTAACTCGTCATTTACATTAGGTATATCTCCTAATGCTATCCCTACCCCCTCCCCCCACCCCACGACATGCCCCAGTGTGTGATGTTCCCCTTACTTACACTTGTGTCCAAGTGTTCTCATTGTTCAGTTCCCACCTATGAGTGAGAACATGTGGTGTTTGGCTTTTGTCCTTGCAATAGTTTGCTGAGAATGATGGTTTCCAGCTTCATCCATGTCCCTGCAAAGGACATGAACTCATCCTTTTCATGGCTTCATAGTATTCCATGGTGTATATGTGCCACATTTTCTTAATTCAGTCTGTCACTGATGGACATTTGGGTTGGTTCCAAGTCTTTGCTATTGTGAATAGTGCCACAATAAACATACGTGTGCATGTGTCTTTATAGCAGCATGATTTATAAACATTTGGGTATATACCCAGTAATGGGATGGCTGGATCAAACGATATTTCTGGTTCTAGATCCTTGAGGAATCACCACACTGTCTTCCACAATGGTTGAACTAGTGCACAGTTCCACCAACAGTGTAAAAGTGTTCCTATTTCTCCACATTTATGTTTTTGTTATATGTTACATGTTTTCTTTTTTAATGTTTTTGTCGATTTTGTCTAAGATCAGTTGGCTATAGATGTATAGCTTTGTTTCTGGGTTCTCTATTCTGGGTTCCATTAATCTATGCAATTGTTTTTATACCAGTACCATGCTGTTTTGTTTACTACAGCCTTGTAATATTATTTAGGGTCCAGTAATGTGATGCCTTCAGCTTTGTTCTTTTTCCTTAGGATTGCTTTGGCTATTTGGTGGTTTCATATGAATATTAGGGGTTTTTTAAAATTCTGTGACAATGACATTGGCGTTTTGAATTACACTGAATCGGTAGATTGTAGATCACTTTGGGCAGAATCATCATTTTAACAATATTAATTCTTCCAATCCATTAGCATGGAATATTTGTTCATTTGTTTGTGTCATCTCTGATTTCTTTCAGGAGTGTCTTGTAGTTTTCCTTACAGAGATCTTTTACCTCCTTGGTTAAATATATGCCTAGGTATTTTTTTTTTTTTTAGTAGCTATTATAAATGAGATTGTTTTCTTACTTTGGTTCTCAGTTTGATTGTTACTGATACAAAGAAATGGTATTGATTTTTGTATGTTTATTTTGTATCCTGAAACTTTCCTGAATTCATTTATCAAATGTAGGATTTTTTTTTCCTTTAGGGTTTTCTAGGTATAAGATCTTATCATCAAGCATTTTTGTACTCATCTGTGAAACACCCTCATCCGGATTTGTGCTCAGCTCTCTCTAGGCAGGGTGTGCAGATACAAGTGTGGATGGGAGGGAGAATCATGTCTCTGTTCTGTTGGGCAATGGTCCTCAGCTCTGGGAGCAACAGCTGCATTTTCAACAACTGGAACTTGGAGTACAGATTTCTTCCCACATTGCCTATGTTTAACCTCCATGTGGGAAATCTGTTTTGTCACACTTCAGAATCACAGTGAGAGATGACCACTCAGAGCCAGCACACATAAGCATGCGCTGCGTTTATTTTCAGGGTTGGGATAAATTCTGAGCACTTAACCAATTTCGAGATATCTACTTCACCACATATTACAGAACCAAAGGTGATAATAACTGGCTGTTTGGCTGCCTGGAGCATAATCGCTGATTGAACAACATCTTGTTCATCCTGGTGACTGTACAAGGAGGTCAACTGGAAATACAAATCAATGCACAATCAGCTA